TCGAGGATTTCCCACCGGAGAGAAACCTTATGAAGACTCAGGGTCTGAAAAATGCTTCAGTGTTAGATCACCTCTTCTAGTCACTCAGCCTCTGCACTCAGAAGGAAAATTGTATAAGTGTGAAGAATGTGGCAAGAGCTTCAAGGGATGTTCTGGACTTAAGAAACATCAGAGAATACACACTGAGGAGTGTCCCCACAAATGTCATGATTGTGGAAAGGGCTTCAGGTGGCATTCACATCTCATAATACACCAGCGAATTCATACAGGAGAGAAACCCTTTCCCTGTGAAGAATGTGGGAGGAGGTTCATAAAACTGTCACAACTTGTTGTACATCAACGAATTCATTCAGGGGAAAAACCCTATACATGCAAAGAATGTGGGAAATGTTTTAGGCAGCTCTCACATTTCCATATACATCAACGTTCACATTCAGGGGAGAAACCCTATCATTGTAAAAGTTGTGGCAAAAAGTTCAGCGCCTGTTCAACCCTCATTGTACATCAACGAATTCATTCAGGGGAAAAACCTTATACATGCAAAGAATGTGGGAAGTGTTTCAGTGATCCATCATCTTTCAAAGTACATCAGCGCCGCCATTCGGGGGGAAAACCCTATCAGTGTGAAGAATGTGGGAAATTGTTCTCTCTGTACTCTTACCCCAGAGTACACCAACGAAGTCACTCCAGAGAAAAACTGTATGCATGCGATGAATGTGGGAAATGTTTCAACCGTCTCTGCAATTTAACCATACATCAGCGCTCACATTCACAGAAGAATCCGTATCATTGTGAATAATGTGGGATAAGCTTCAAAGCTAAGACACCCTTCACAGCACATCAACAACTTCATACTGGAGAGAAACCACATAAATGTGAGGAATTTGGAGAAAGATTTCTCTGGTTGTTCAATCTGAGAGAACATAAGAAAATTCACTCCAGTCAGAACCTCTAAAATGGAGAGAATGTGGGGAATCGCACCTCAGCATATGCAAAGAGAGTAGAAAGTCAGAAAATTCTGCAAAATGACCTGAAACTTTTAAAACTCCATCTGAATATCAATCCTGGGAAGAAAAACATTCAAAGACTCATAGGACAGTGAGAGCTCTACTGTTGACTTAAGCCTTTGTGGACCTATGAAAGCACTTTGGAAAGAAATGTTGTGGTGGCTTTGAATGTGGAAATCCTTTGGAGGAAATGTTCTCTTCCTCCCAAGGTTTACAAACCCCGCATTCCTGAGCACATCAGGAAGGAGACGGTCAACTCGGGTAATGCTCTGGTTCAACAAGAGTGACAAAGACTGGATGTGATGTGTGGATCTCCCTGCCTCGTATTCTGTGATTCTTCAGCTGCACTGATTGTGTATTTTACTTCAATGGTTTTATCCTGATTTTAACTTTATCATTATATGAAAATTGCCTTGAAACCAATAAATGCTCCGATTCCAACGAAGTCTTTTTCGACAGCCTGAAATACAGAGATAGGAATCCTGACTGTGTGGGTGTGGAAATGTTGAGCTCCTTTAGAAGAGAGCTGCTGACACAGTTTGTAAGTTATATGTCTAGTGGCATCCAAGTTACAGCAACCCTAACAGTGTTTTTAACTATGTGTTAAAGGAGTGGTTTTACTAGTGCCTAGCGTCTTCATTGGGTTTCCTTCGGCACCTGTGGCCTGACATTGGAGTCCAAAGAATATGGCAGTTCTTGGCCAAAACAACACATAGTTACATGAAGATGGGGGAAGGTGGTGGGAAGGGCTTAGCCTTGTGGGAGTTGAAAGCCACTAGAGATCTCACAGCCTGTTATACTTTGTTCAGGACTCGTAGTTGGAAAGTGCACAACCACGCGTCCCCCTCTGAGGGGGTTTAATTTTCCCTAACCTGCCCCACTCACCAGCCTTAGAAAGGATGGAGGGAGTCTAGTTCATGCTCAAATTATTCAACCTTTGGTTGTTGTGGGTTTTTCGGGCTGTGTTCTGAAGGTTGTTCTTCCTAATGTTTCACCAGTCTCTGTAGGCTGCATCTTCAGAGGACAGCAACCTTTATTAATCGGTTTGGTAAATTCTCTACTGCCAATTCAAATGGTTCTCATGGGGAGTCAAAGGGCAATGACATAAAAAGTCGTATCATCCTGTGGTAAATAACAATGAGCCTTTTCAGTGGATGCTTTGGTCCATACATTGCCTGTGGGGAAGTCTGAGGTGGAGATTGGCATTGGCCGGAGGACCCCAAAGGCCCTCCTTTGTTTAGAAACATCTTTTCTCCAAATTATTCAAAGGAAGATTTTTTTAATCTCACACCCCTCGGGAACCCACTGCCGCTTCCACTGGATTTCTTTAAATTGGCTTGGTGATAGTCAGAATCTAACCTCCACTTTCCTCTCACTTTTAACCATGCAAGGAATGGTCCAGATTTTGTGATGCTTCCAAGCTTGCCTGCAAGCCACCTAACCACAGGTCAGGATCCCTCATAGAAATACAGATAGGAATGCAAACAAGGCAGGATTGTGGCTGAAGTAAAGGGGGTAGGAGAGGGGTTTGTAACTCCAAATCCTGTGTTGGGTGTGGAAGGATTTTAGGAATCTTTTCACCAAAGCTCACTGTGTAAATCTCTGGCGGTGGAACTCATTGCCACTGTGGTAGAAAAAAACAGGCATGAGAACCAGTTCTTTGATGTCATTCCGCATGGAATAAATCCAGTGGATTTAAAATGTTCAACAATAAAGACAGGTTACTTTTCCTGCCCTCACCCCGTGTAAAAGCAATGAAACAAGTGCTTTCAACACAGAAAAAACTCTCCATGAAGATGAAGAAATTGCGCCTCTCTCAACACTGGGCCACCCTCCATTTCTTGTGTGCCACCCCTCTGTTCTGGGGGGGGGGCGGAGGGATATATTTCAACCGGGTTTACCCCTAGAAACAGACTGAGCCCAGATCCCCAGCGAGCACAGTTGGTGCTGAAGACTTGTGGGAATTGAAGTACAAAATCATCTGCGTTTCCCAAGTTTGGACATCACTGTTTATGACAACAACATAAGCCATAAATTACTGCATGTAAACATGGTAAACAACCAAGAGCCGATGAATATTTATAATGTTCTGATTATAGAACTGATATTTCATTCAACGTTTCACTCTGTTTTCATACGTCTGACATAGTGGATGTGTCCACAAAATCTCACATTAAAGTGTAATAGTTGGTCTATAATGTACCACCTGTTTTTTTTCCTTTCCTTTCCTTTTCTTTCTGTTGCTTTTGCCTGATATGCTTGGAAATCCTAACCCAGCTGCCTCTCCCAGGATTTCCCCTGGACCACTGTGTCTGAGTCTCCATTTTGTTTCTGAACTACGCTTCCCAGAAGACCTTCAAAAATTAAGGGCAAATCCTGGGCAGCTGGCTCAATCTGAAGGAGGAAGCGCAAACCTGGGAGAGATCAAAGGGGAAAGGAAAGAGCAGAGTTGCAATTAGCAATGAGACGCCAGCAGAAAGAAACAGGGATTGAGGGGAAAAGATGGCCAAAGTTGGCTGCCTTCTTCTCTTCTTTTTCCCATCAGATAAACTGCCCCACTGCCTTATTGCTCTTTTTGAGTCCTTTCTCTCAAACAGGCTGCTTCTCTGTACCTGGTTTGCAAACTTTCCTGGGCTGTTGAGGTCACCTGGTAAGTAGGAGGGAAAGAACACTGGAGGCTTCTCCAAACAAAGAGAAGATGAAACAAGGAAGATGATTTTGCACTGGAGGAATGGAGAGAGAGAGAGAGAGAGACAGTCTTTATAGACCAAGGAATTGATGTGGCCATTAGAGAGGTCTTGCAAGAGTGTCTTCAGAGATGATGTGGATGATTTACAGACTTTCTGGACAGTAATTAAAGAAATGTTGACTGTAATTTTAAAGGCTGAACACCCACTTGTGCTCCTCCACTGAGTCCATCTATCTTGTATTTGGTTGTCTCCCTGTTTTCCAGGAGAACAAATGAACTGTTCTCCTGGAAATTGAATCGAATCCCAAAAAGAGCAAAATCAGGGAGCTGGACAGGGGACAGATTGTATCTGTCCTCAGTGTGGAAGGGATGGTCGCTCTCGAACTCGCCTTCTCAGCCACACTAGATGCTGTTCCAAATCCTCCATACAGAGCACGTTACCATAGTCTCTCGAGACTGAAGGATGCCTGTACAAATGATTTGTGGAGAACAGAAATCTATCATCTGGGATAGATGCTGTTTGGCTTATTTGGACTCCAACTCCCTGAAATAAAAAAATTCCCAGGGTGGAATTCTGCACTGCAGACCCACATCTTCAAGCACTTACATTT